AGGTTAATTATTGATTATTTTGTAAACGTCATCCCTGGAGATAAAATTAAGGGTAGACACTTTCATATTGCATATTTCAAAATATACGATTTTTTTAATAAATTGCGCGTTCATCTTTTTAGACGATTTTTCAATTTAAAAAATCTACCAATGAGAAAATATTTTATTTATGTTCATAAAATTTATGTTCTTACTACTTTCATTACTATACAATAAGATAATATACACAGTGCGACAAATATGTTCCCGGACACGAACCACATCTCAGCAACCAGTGGCGACATCTGTGCGTTCAAACATGCATTTTAAAGATTGAACATTTTGCTATCATCTGTCAAAGTTTCATTCATTTTGGTTGACATATAACGAAGATATGACAGTTCATGTTAAACAAGATTTTGGTCGAGGTAGAAATTTTAATATGGAACAAAGAGCAGTGATTAAATTTAACGCAAAACTTGGTAAAAGTGCATCAGAAACATTCCGATCGATGCAACAAGTTTACGGCAATCAATGTCTAGGTCGTACAACTGTTTTTGAGTGGCATAAGCGTTTTTTGGAAGGCAGAGAGACCCTTGAAGATGACAAAAAATCAGGACGGCCAATTTTAGTTCGAACACTCGAAATGATCGAAAAAGTACGTGATTTTGTTGCAAACGATCGCAATGCATCACTAAAAATGATGGAGGAGGCTTTAAATATCAGTAGAGAAACGATTCGAACTATATTATTATACATGAAGATTTGGGTAAAACGAAGGTTTGTGCGAAGTTTGTTCCACACACATTAAGAAGCGATCAAAAATCAGCGAGAATCAATTATTCCAGAGACATCGTTGCAGCCGCAGAAAATAATCCAAACTTCCTAAAATCAATTGTTACAGGTGATGAAACATGGTGCTTTCAATATGATCCAGAAACTAAGCGTCAAAGTGCGGAATGGAAGTCAAAAAATTCACCACAAGCAAAAAAAGTACGAAAAGTTCTATCAAAAATCAAGACAATGCTCATCACATTCTTTGATAGCAAAAGTATTATCCACAAAGAGTTTGTTTCAACTGGCCAAACAATTACTGGTGCATATTATCTCGAAGTTTTAAAGCGATTGATGGGCAAAATTCATCGTATTCGCCCCGAATATCGTGGTCCAGAAAATTGGTCTTTGTTGCATGATAGTGCATCGAGTCACACTTCATTGATTGTCCGTCAATGTTTGGCTCGAAATCGTGTCTGTGTTAAACCATCTACCGTATTCACCTGATTTGGCCCCTTGCGACTTCTCATTATTAAAATTGAAATTGAAATTGAAAGGACGCTTTTTTGATGACATTCCGACCATCCAATCAGCTTCTACACAGGCACTAGAGGCAATTCCGCAAACTGAGCTAGAACATGCATTTGAATCACTATTGAATCGCTGTAACAAGTGTATTGAAGAGGAAAATATTTTGAATAATAAAACCAAAAAATATGCATATTATTGTTTCAATTATGATTTTCAGGCCCTGTCCGAGAACATATTTGTCGCACTGTGTAATTCTCTACATCAATATTAAAATGAATTTTGGCCACTTTTTGGGATTCCTGGCCCACCTGTGCATTGATGACTACATACGCTGTAATGTATCTACACATTCAAGTTATTTTTATCCAAATTTTTCTGCATCTAATTTCTCACGTTGATATACTTAACAATGCTCAATACCATTCATAATGGAAATTTTACATATACTGCGATGAGTTTACATATTATTATAATTACTTTCTAAATTATTCGATGTGTTTGTTATGTTAATATTCAAATAAATCGTTATTTTTTAAAAATTGTATTAATTTCAACACTGAGAATGATTTAATTAGGGTCGAAATGTATGTTATAATAAACTTTTGTTTCATAATAATATAGCATTAAGATTTTGCTTGACTTGTAGCCTTATACTTATTATTAATTTTATTAATTATTTGAGTCTTTTTCTTATATTATTATATTTCTTAAAAAAAACATTCCAAGAGTATTCCGGAATATTCCGAAATATTTACGAAATCCTAAAGCAACATTCAAATATTGGTTAAAAATTTCATTTAAATATTGTTACATATTCCGCAAATGTTCCATATATGTTCTACAAAATTTTAATTTTTCCAGGAATTCCAGGTTTGATCGTCCCTGAATCCGTTTTTAAACAAAATTTTGAAAAACACTTCGCACTTTCATCTTGGATCCCAATATTGAGAATTACTTTATAGGCAAAATACTGCTCCTTATATTCTCTCCCAAATGATTCTTGTTAATGAATAAATGCTTTCCGCTGCAGCTCTCTGTCGGCGGAGATGTGTACTATTTGCTTGCGAGTGATTTTCGTATATACAAGTATTCATACAATGTTCCAAACATTTCATCGACATTTGTATATGACATTTGTACGTGACAATTTTTTTACTGCGGAATATTCGGTACATTGGGAATACGAATTTTCTATGAATATTTAGCATTAGCTAGGTTCTTGCTGGATAGAAGACTAAGTAAACTTGGAACATCTCCATTATATGTGTAACGATGCATCCTGAATACATCCTTACGAACCTCGACATTGTTATCACCGCATTTAAAATAACTTAATGCACAGGTGATAGCCGCTAGAGTTTTTCGAAACTGATCGAATACCGTCGACGGTATTGTTTCCGCTTGTATTGTCAGCCAGCGAGAATCGCTGAGCGTTTTCGAAATAATACAAGCAGGAGCAACAATTCGTTTATAAGAGCGTTAATTCATAGGGAGCAACAATTTGTATATAAAGACGCGAATGCTAGTGCTCTCGATTCTTTTCCAGCTTCTGCCGCAATTCCATTCCGATTCAATCCGACTCCTAGTGGCCGCTACTGTCGCGAGAAGAAGTGGTCACGCGCTGCTGCGCGCAGCTGATTTCCAACGCATATGTCGCGTATTGTCAACGCGCCGCGACCGAGGGGATAACCACTCATGAATTCCGATTCCGGTGTACAATCTGTCAAAAATCTGATGAAGTCCGGTGAAGTCCGACGAAGTCCGAAGAATTCCTCAAAGTCCAATAAAGTCCGTTAAAGTCCGGTGAAATCATGAAATCCAGGTGTATACTTATTTTTTGAGTGATTACTATCTCGGCCACAACACAAAAAGCCATCTGTGGCATCCGCTGAGCGAGACTACGTTCAGCAAAACATATATGTGCTTACAAACACGCAATAGGTATGCGCGCGCGCGTATGAGCATATATACCTATTGTAAACATGACAGCACATGAATCATATTCCTCAATATTCAATACTTTCTTTATTACGATCTTTGTATAGTCAATCTGCATCCCACCTCCCTCTTTTGTGTTCCGACCAGATATATCCATTCCGACAAGCTATTCCGCGCGAAAGTTAGGTTGTTATATATTGGGAGTACGCTGGCTACTACTTTTTCCCATCTCTCAGGCAATTTTCGAATTCCATCTTGAAAAAATGACTCGTCTTTGGAGGCGATCCAATTTTGGAGCCAATTTTCAATTTCTGCGAAAGAAGTGAACCGATGACTTGCCAAATCGGGCTGCATCCTTCGGAACAACCATAATCAGAAGGAGCAATGTTCGGAGAATATGGCGGGTGCGGTAAAACATCCCATTTGAGCGTTTCCAAATATTTTTTTACGACTTTTGCGACATGAGGCCGAGCATTGTTATGAAGAAAAATAACTTTATCATGTCTTTGCTCGTATTCCGGCCGTCTTTCTCGCAATGCACGCCTCAAATGAATCAATTGTAGCTGATACCGATCGCCCGTAATGGAATCGTCAGGTTTCAGCAGCTCATAGTAAACAACTACCAGATACAGAGCATGATCTTCGAATCATGAATGTTCGGTTTTGGTGTTGATGTTGAGGTCGATGGCAACGATTGATCGGGCTTAGCGTAGTATTTTTTCTTCTTGGGATTGTCATAGAATATCCACTTCTCATCTCCAGTCACAATCCGATGCAAAAAACCTTTTCTTTGTTGTCTTTGAATCAGCTGTTCGCAAGTGAAAAATCGCTTTCAACGTCTCTCGATTTCAGTTCATAAGACATCCAATTTTCTTGTTTTTGAATTATTCCCATGGCTCTCAATCGTGCAGAAACGTGCTTATTACTCCCAATGATTCTGCAAGATCCTCTTGGGTTTGACTCTGATCTTCTTCGAGTAATGCCTTCTAATTCTTTGAAATTCTTCGAATTTTTTTGGCTGTTCAGAGCGAAGCTTGTCTTCAACGCTGAAATCTCCATCCTTGAAACGTCGAAACCATTCCCTACATGATTTATCAGTTGGAGCAGTGTCACCATAAACTTTGACAAGCATTTGATGGGCTTCAGCTGCACTTTTCTTCCAATTAAAGCAGAAAATTAGAACCTCCCGCAAATGCTGCTTGGTTAACATAAAATTCGACATTTTAAGCACCGTAAAAATCAAAGTTTTTGTATGAAACTCAAAGCGATATAAACTGAATATTATTAGCAGATGTCTAACCTCTCTGAAAACGCCAAAATCAGCTGTCACTATAAACCATTCACAACAGCCGGAGCCATCTTTTGGAAAACGGACCGAACTAATTTGTACTTCTAATATAATATTGTATATATATATATATATATAATATTGTCATTAAAAAACTAGTTACTATTCGTTGTGACTATTATAATTTCAATAAACTTATTTTAAACTAAATTGATAATAAACTCTCTCTCTCTCTCTCTCTCTCTCTCTCTCTCTCACGCGCGCGCGCGCTTTAATTTGAGACCATTTTGTTTGCTTTTAATTAACATTTCTTCTATTTAATTTTTTTTATAAATCAAGGTTACAGAATAAAGATTTGTTTAAATTATGAAGGCATTGACCCTGTTATAATTCTCTGTATCAACTGAAGGATTGTTTTTCTTATATATAATTATATTTTTATGTATGAAACTGTACTTATGTAACTAAAAAGAGATTTGATATTTCACAGGAAGTAGTTATATTACTGTTCTACCACCTATTCCTACCGTGGGTATGACCAAAGACGATTTACCAAAGCTCATGGAGCAGGCGTATAAAGTTATGAATAAAACTTTTGTGGAATCATCGACGGAGTGTCTCGAGGAACAGATACAAAGTTTGAAGTGTGAATGATAGGAGTAACAAAAAACGATTGCGTAATTACGAGTAAATTGTGATACAAATTCTAATCGATAAGAGAAATCGTGACTAATTTGCGATTGCAAATTCGCAAAGATTGCACATGTGATTGATTTTTTTGTTACTAATTGTTGTGGACGCTGTAATTTCTGCCAAATAAAATATAAAATCATAATGATATCTCATATTTCATTTGTTGTTTATAAGTAAACTTAGAGACGTAAAATATTTTTACAACTTCTGTGTTCTATCTGGATGTGTCATAATATACGTATCAATTGAGAAAGCTTCTTTAATTCAGTAAGACTCATTTAGATCTTTACCTATTAGGTGTAGTAAAAAGTAATCCATTATTTTTCCAATAGATGGTTTTAGTAATTTGTATCACGCGTAGATGAGATACAGATTACTAAAGCCATCTAATGGAAAAATAATGGATTTCTTTTTACTACACCTAATATATGTATATACACGGTCTCCTGCAATTTTTGATAATGCGCTCTTGTGTAGATAGGATGGATTAAACTGACAAGGGGAATCCCAGAAATAGTACCCTTGGATTTAGATGCCAATTTTTTTGTTACAGATCAGGAAAGAAATTTTGTTCGACGATCTGTCCACATAGGCTGTTCGAGTTTTTAAATTTTGAGAATTGGCCGCGCTTTAGGCGACGTAGATGAGCCGTTCCAATAGGTCTGTTCGCATTACATGAAATCGCCAAATATTTTTGCACTTAAAATAAGATAGATACATATTTTGCCTTAAAAAAAGAAAAAGCGAAGATGTCAAAAGTGAAAATAACGCGAACAAATAAACATGCTTCGTATTAACATGCTTCACAAGCAGTACGATTGGCTCAGGTGCAATAGTTAGGTGCTCGCATTAGAAATCGAAAGGTGCGAGTTCTAGATCTGTGGTAAATAATTGTTTACTTATTTATTTATTTATTTATTTTATTTATTCTTTTTATGAATTTTAATGTACAGTATTATTTAATTATGTTATGTGAAATTTTAATAAATCCACTGCATATAATTAAATATAAACTTATGCTTTTAACTTATCACATCCACCTAACCGAACGAAGAATAAATATAATTGATATAATTGGGTAATGAAAAAAAGGAATTAGAATAGAGGATTAAACTGTAATAAATTGAAATTCCATTGCAATATTTGTATAGAATGATGAGTTATTTATTCATTATTTTGTTTTGTTGCAGAATAATTAGGATGATATATATCATAAAAACATATGACTCATTATTTCGATCTGAATTCTCACACAATAAAGATATCTCTCTATAATTTCACAACAGACCATCGTTAATCTGATTTCAACTGATAATTTCTAAAACACGTAGTTTGTTTATTCAGCAAAATATAACAGACGACATTGAAGAATTTACCCAGATAGCAATAAATTTGATACAAATTGCGTCACCTGAATTGCCATCTTTTTTTTAGGAAAGCAGCTTCCGATTTTGCTTATGCTATTGGCGGCAATATATACCATAAACGATTATGCACAACCGTAGGGAAACAATTTCTCTCTTTTTTTGTATAAGTTTTACAAGTTAAGATAATCGCACGGCAACATGATAGAAACTAATTCTACATAAAACAAATTTACTAGCAATTTGACAATAATATAAAAAAACTGTTGTAATAAAAAGGGTTAACCTCTAACAATGCTTCCTTATTTTAAATCGATTCGAAAGAGAACTTTAAGATATCTTTAAGGGTTCTTCTTTAAGATATTTCATAAAGAACTCTGAAAGATATTTTAAAGTGAGTTATGAGTTGACTATTGAGTTTTAGACATTTTACTCATTTCGCTGACAGGTGTAAGTTACTATGAATAAAATTACAATGTAGATCAAATACATATTAAAGTATTAGGAGATTTCATTTATTCGATAAACATTTCAAAAAAAATATTATATCTTTCATTTTAGAGCCTTTGGGACTTCAAAAAATTAATTAAATTTTATTAGAACACAGCTGAAAAATCTTCCAATGCTGCGTCTTTTATTCTATTCTATGTTGTTTTCTAAAATCGAGAAATTTAACTTGATATACACAGTGCGACAAATATGTTCCCGGACATGAACCACATCTCAGCAACCAGTGGCGACATCTGTGCGTTCAAACATGCATTTTAAAGATTGAACATTTTGCTATCATCTGTCAAAGTTTCATTCATTTTGGTTGACATATAACGAAGATATGACAGTTCATGTTAAACAAGATTTTGGTCGAGGTAGAAATTTTAATATGGAACAAAGAGCAGTGATTAAATTTAACGCAAAACTTGATAAAAGTGCATCAGAAACATTCCGATCGATGCAACAAGTTTACGGCAATCAATGTCTAGGTCGTACAACTGTTTTTGAGTGGCATAAGCGTTTTTTGGAAGGCAGAGAGACCCTTGAAGATGACAAAAAAAATCAATTATTCCAGAGACATCGTTGCAGCCGCAAAAAATAATCCAAACTTCCTAAAATCAATTGTTACAGGTGATGAAACTTGGTGCTTTCAATATGATCCAGAAACTAAGCGTCAAAGTGCGGAATGGAAGTCAAAAAATTCACCACAAGCAAAAAAAGTACGAAAAGTTCTATCAAAAATCAAGACAATGCTCATCACATTCTTTGATAGCAAAAGTATTATCCACAAAGAGTTTGTTCCAACTGGCCAAACAATTACTGGTGCATATTATCTCGAAGTTTTAAAGCGATTGATGGGCAGAATTCATCGTATTCGCCCCGAATATCGTGATCCAGAAAATTGGTCTTTGTTGCATGATAATGCACCGAGTCACACTTCATTGATTGTCCGTCAATGTTTGGCTCGAAATCGTGTCTCTGTGTTAAACTATCTACCGTATTCACCTGATTTGGTCCCTTGCGACTTCTCATTATTAAAATTGAAATTGAAATTGAAAGGACGCTTTTTTGATGACATTCCGACCATCCAATCAGCTTCTACACAGGCACTAGAAGCAATTCCGCAAACTGAGCTAGAACATGCATTTGAATCTCTATTGAATCGCTGTAACAAGTGTATTGAAGAGGAGAATATTTTGAATAATAAAACCAAAAAATATGTATATTGTTGTTTCAATTATGATTTTCAGGCCCTGTCCGGGAACATATTTGTCGCACTGTGTATACTCTCTGATATTGCACTTTCGACAATACTCCATTTCCATTCGATTGACAAAAATGTGAACTAAATATTTTACAAAATATTTAGTCTGTACTCTAATTTTAATTTAATATATATATTATTAGACATGAAAAATTAGTGGTGACTCTCATTGGCTTTTCTCCTCATTACACCATTATATTAAATTTATCTTGAGGAGCCTTATATTATATTAATTTAATTTATTGTGATTCCTCTTATTTTCCTTAACAATCAATTCAAATATCCACTTCACTATGAACATACAGGAAAACGAAAAACTTCCATTCTTAGATGTTCTTATTTCTAAAAAAGCTGATAGTACCTTAGGCCATGAAGTGTACAAAAAATCAATACACACAAATAGATACCTACATACCGAGTCGCACCAAACCCAACACAAAAAGTCAGCAATCATTTGTACGTAGAGCTTTCATCATCTTTGACAAAGAACACCTACAGACAGAACTCAATCACCTGAAACTAGTTTTACAGAAAAACGGACATGACAAAAAAGACATAACCAAATCAACAAATATGCAAACTAATCAATAAATATGCAAGACATACAACCAGACGAAAGGATCCTATCGATTCTCCCATATGTTAAGAAACAACAGGTCGGATCGGCAGAACATTAAACAAACACAATATCTGAACTATCTTCAAATCACTCAAAAAGATAGGGCAAATCTTAAAAAATCCTAAAGATCAAAAACCTCCACTCAGCTCAGAGGTATACAAAATACTTTGTTCCTGTGGGTAAATATACATTGGAGAAACCGGATCAATCTATAGATAAAAGAACACCAACGTGATGTCAGGCTAAAACACGCCACGTAGTCAACATTATCAGAACACAACATCGAAACAGGACATCAAATATTGTTTGACAAAACGACCAACATTACATCATACTTTCCAAGAAAATATAGAAAAGCCATAGTGATACAAAAATATTCTAACAGTCTAAATAAATAGAGGTAATGGCTACAACATAAATAAAATACAGAAGATCATTCTCCCGGTTATTGAAGACTGACCGATTTCGTCTTCCCCCACCCCTTTCCACCCACAATTCTCTTTTTCCTCCCACTTCAACAAGCAGCGTAATATAAAGGGAATGGCTCGGAAGAACAGCTCAATATCAGGCTGCTCCTCACTCTGATGTGGACTGCAAGGTTTATGAAACGTTGGCATTCCGAGAATGAATCTGCCCAAAGAAATAATAATGGAATCGACGTCGATTTGATGTCGTTTATTATTTCTGACTGGATGGACACGGGGAAATCCGCGAAACACATAATTTTTTTATATGTCAATATATATTCATTCTTCATTCGATGATATGGATGTAATAGTGTAAAAAACGTAATTTTATATTTAATTACAGGGTGCGTCACCAAAATCCGGACAAATTTCAATTCAAATTTTCCGCTATACTGTGCCTCCGCCAAAGATTGTTATTGGTGTCCAAGAAAGCCTGATGCTTCTAGTAAACAGTCATATTCTCAAAATGGCCGCGATGTTGAGGTCCAAGAAAGCCTGATGCTTCTAGTAAACAGTCATATTCTCAAAATGGCCGCGATGTTGAAACCAAGTGCGGAGTATAATCGAAGAGCCGCGATCATCGAAGACCTTCGCGCCGGCCGCTCAGCAACGGAAATAATTCGGTCCTTTAGATACCCGAGATCCACTGTTTATGACGTTGTGGCAAAATATATGGCTTTAGAACAGTCCAACGAAGGTTCCAGTATGCCAGCGAGGAAGAGTCACTCGAAAGAACGCACCGCGAGGATCCCTGCAGTCGTTGAAAGGGCTCAAACGCTGATTTCGAATGACCCAAGGCAATCGTTGCAAAAATTAGCATCGATTGTTGGTGTAAGCGAGCCAACAATGCGTCGAATTGCCGAGGATCTTCGATACAAATCGTACACATTAAAGAGGCTCTCTGAGGCTGCTACGACAAAGAATTGTTCGATTTGTCCGGA